AGTGGAGATGTCATGTCTGAGGGCAATGTGTGGTGTGAATATAATGTAGAGAATTCATAGTTTGGAAGTTAGGAGGAGGTGCGGGATTGCCAAAACTGTTGTCCATAGGGCTGAGGAAGGGTTGTTGAGGTGGTTCAGACATGTAGAGAGAATGGAGCGAAACAGAATGACTTCAAGAGTGTATCAGTCTGTAGTGGAAGGAAGGCGGGGTAGGGGTCAGCCTAGGAAAGGTTGGAGGGAGGAGGTAAAGGAGGTTTTGTGTGCGAGGGGCTTGGACTTCCAGCGGGCATGCGTGAGTATGTTTGATAGGAGTGAATGGAGACAAATGGTTTTTAATACTTGACATGCTGTTGGAGTGTGAGCAAAGTAACATTTATGAAGGGACTCAGGGAAACCGGCAGGCTGGACTTGAGTCCTGGGAAAGTACAGTGCCTGCACTCTGAAGGAGGGGTGTTAATGTTGGTTTCAAAACTGTAGTGTAAAGCACCCTTCTGGCAAGACAGTGATGGAGTGAATGATGGTGAAAGTTTTTTTTTTCGGGCCACCCTGCCTTGGTGGGAATCGGCCAGTGTGTTAATATAAAATATAAATATATATTATAAGAAGCCATCTGGATAACAATACTCTGATTAACCCTTTGAGGGTTTTTGACGTACTAGTACGCCTAAATTCTAGCGCCCTCAAATCTAGTGGGAGAAAGCTGGTAGGCCTTCATATGAAAGAATGGGTCTATGTGGTCAGTGTGCATAGTCTAAAAAAAATCCTGCAGCACACAGTGCATAATGAGAAAAAAAAAACTTTGACCATTTTTTTGGAATAAAACAGCTACTTTGCACTGTGTTTTCGTATGGTATTTATTGTTGTGTTCTAGTTTTCTTGGTCTCATTTTATAGAATGGAAGACATATTACAGAAATTGAGATGATTTTGACTGGTTTTACAATGAAAGGTACCTTGAAATTGAGCTCAAAGTAGCAGAAATGTTCGATTTTTACCAAATTTCAAAAGTAAACAAATCGTGCCAAGCGTCCAATACACGTCAACTGGTGAGTCTAGTATTCTTTCACAAGTGCGCCAATAATAATTATACCATTTTTTACACTATGCAGTAGTCTGCATAACAGTAAATCTTATGTTTTTTGTGAGAATAAAAATTCAAAGTGGAAAGCAAAAGAATATAAGAGGGGCCTTGAGACGTGACTAATGACCAGAGGAAATGTCATTTTAGTGCCAGGAATGTCTTTCTTGTTTATTCTGGACCCTATTCGGAAATTGGCATCTTTTGAAATTTGTGTGAAATTGGCAAAATTGCTAAATTCTGACCACTGTACTGGATAGTTGAATTTCATAAATGGGTGGTTTCTTGCACCCATTCGATAGAAAAAATAGAGTTCTAGCGAAATATTCATGTTTTTTGTCGACTAGTACAGTGGAATTGGCCGAAAATGGGGCTCAAAGTGGGCAAAATCGCCGATGCGTAAACATCGCCGAGACCGCTAACTTCGCGAGAGCATAATTCCGTAAGTTTTCCATCAAATTTCAAATTTTTGGTGTCCTTATGATCAGGAAAAGATTTTCTATCTTTTCATAAAAGAAAATATTTTTTTTTTTTTTTTTAATTTGGCCGACCCTGAGAACGAGTTTCGGAGAGGGCCTGTCGACCCTCAAAGGGTTAATGATACTCAGCATGGCTTCACGAGAGGCCATTCTTGTCTGACTAATTTAACTTTCTTTAGTAAAGCTTTTGAGGCTGTTGACCACGATAAAGAATTTGATATTGTTTATTTGGATTTTAGTAATGCTTTTGATAGAGTACTGCATCAAAAACTGTTAAAGAAAGTGGCAGCTCATGGCATTGGGGGAAAAGTGCACTCATGGATTGAGTCATGGCTCACAGACAGTGTGCATAAATGGGGTTAAATCTGAGTGGGGATCTGTACCTTTACCTTTATACCTTTGAAGAATTTCGAGAGTATATCTACTCTCTGAGCCTGGCCATGGGCCAGGGTCGTCTGGTGCTTGCCTGGTCAACCAGGCTGTTGATGCTGGAGGCCCGCTGCCCCACATATCCATCACAGCCTGGTGAAGATACTTGTCTAGTTTCCTCTTGAAGGCTTCAACACTTGTTCTAGCAGTCTGATATCTTCTGGTAAGATGTTGAAAAGTCTGGGACCCCGGATGTTGATACCTTATTGTCCCCACCGCACCCCTGCTCCTCATTGGGTTTATTTTACACTTCCTCCCATATCTCTCACTCCAGTATGTTGTTATGGCAGTGTGCAGATTTGGGACCAAGCCCTCGAGTATCTGTAACAAGTGGCGTTCCACAGGGATCAGTCTTATGCCCATTGTTGTTTATAATATATATCAATGATCTTCATGAGGGATTTACTAGTGAAATGAGCAAATTCGCCAGTGACACAAAGATAGGTAAGATAATTGATTCAAACGTAGATATCAGGGAACTTCAGGAGAATTTAGATAAACTCAGTACCTGGTCAGAAAAGTGGCAGATGCAGTTCAGTGTAGATAAATGCAAGGTTCTGAAGCTCGGGAGTGTTCATAACTTTAGCACTTATAAGTTAAATAATGTAGAACTTAGCCATACAGCAATGCCTAAGCATATGTAATAAGGCAAACAGAGTACTGGGATTTATATCAAGAAGTGTAAGCAACAGAAGTTCAGCGGTTATATTACAGCTTTATACATCATTAGTAAGGCTTCACTTAGATTACAAAGCTCAGGTCTGGTCTCCATATTGCAGAATGGACATGAATTCGTTAGAAAACATTCAGTGTAGAATGACTAAATTAATACATATCCTTAGAAATCTTTCTTATGAAGAAAGATTGAAGACCCTCAAATTACATTCACTTGTTAGACGAAAAATGAGAGGAGACATGATCGAAGTGTGTAAGTGGAAGATGGGTATTAATAAAGGGATATAAATAAGGTCTTGAGGATCTCCAAGAGAGAACCCGCAGTAATGGATTCAAATTAGACAAGTTTAGATTTAGAAAGGATATAGGAAAGTATTGGTTTGGAAATAGGGTAGTTGATGAGTGGAACAGTCTACCTAGTAGGGTTATTGAGGCTTAAACCTTGGGTAGTTTCAGATTTAGATTGGATAAATACATGAGTGAGAGGGGTTGGATTTGATTAGGACTTGCACATGAGTTAATAGAATTATCAAAGCTCATTGCTTGGGTAGAATTGAAAATTGGGTTTGGCAAATATTTTGTTAGTGGAATGGATTGTGAAGGACCTGTCTAGTATGGACCAACAGGCCTGCTGCAGTGTTCCTCCTTTCTTATGTTCTTATGTAGAACAAAAGGAACATGTAAAAGACCTGGGAATAATTATGTCGGCTGACCTTTCGTTTAAGGAACATAAGACAAAGATCATGACAGACAGGAAGATACTGGGTGGGTATTGAGAACTTTCAAAACAGGGAAATAATGCCGATGGTGACACTCTTCAAATTGCTAGTGCTCCCTCATTTAGAATATTGCTCAGTGCTGACGGCCCCGTTCAAAGCAGGAGAAATATCAGAGCTGGAACAAATACAGAAATTGTTTACAGCTTGCATTGAGCCAGTAAACCACCTATGTTACTGGAGCAGAGAGAGATACTTGATAATACATACCTGGAAAGTACTCGAGGGCCTGGTCCCAAATCTGCACACTTCCATAACAACATACTGGAGTGAGAGTATGGGACGAAGTATAAAATAAACCCAGTGAGGAGCAGGGGTGCAGTGGGGACAATAGGGGAACACTGTATCAACATCTGGGGTCCCAGACTATTCAACATCTTACCAGGAGATATCAGAGACACGGTTGGAACAAGTGTAGAGGCCTTCAAGGGGAAACTGGAGAAGTATCTTCACCAGGTGCCAGATCAAGCAGGCTGTGATGGATATGTGGGGCAGCAGGCCTCCAGCAGCAACAGCCTGGTTGATCAGGCAAGCACCAGACGAGCCTGGCCCATTTCTGGGCTCCAAGAGCAGTTAAACCCTCAAAATTCTTCAAAGGTATATCACCCATACAACAGTGTTGGTTCTACTATACTTTGGTACATTCCCCGTTTGCCTCCATATATGAAGTTCTTTGTTTCCCCGGATGCTTCAGTGCACCACCCACCTTTTTTCCTTTATCAGTTATGTGGTTCATCTCATATTTCAAAAAAATCACCTACTGACAAGTTGTCTCCCAAATATCCGAATATATTTTTACTACATGCTACCTCCAATCTGATATCCAATTTCTCATTGCCTATATTTTTGGATATTTTTATGATCTTGCTATTTTCTGTTTACTTTTAGTTTATTTCTTTTGCATGCTCTCCCAAATTCAATGTACTAACTTTTACAACTTCCAAATCTCCCAAAAGAACCATGTCATTGGCAAAAAGCAACTGTGACAACTCCCACTCCTTAACCAGATTCACTCTCATTCTCACACCTCTCCCCAGCACTCTAGCATTCACTTCTTCGACAACCCTTTCTATAAATGTGTTATAAAACCACGATAACTTATTCCCTCCAACCCAATATGATTTCCAATCTTTCATTACCTAAAGTTTTGTTACTCTCATCACTGTGTTCTTTCCTATGTTCACTTTTAATTTCCTTCTTTGAATACACTTCCAAATTCATTTACCAACCTTTGCAATGTCTCTTCAGAATTTCTCAGATCACAGAATTTCTCGTCACAGTTGCAGATAGCAACTGTGACGACTCCCACTTTGTACTAGATCCTTTACAACCTTTTACAACCCCATCTGTAAATGTCAAACAGCCATGGTGACATTATGCATCCCTGTCTAAGGCCTACTTTTACTGGAAAACAATCTCACTCCTACATACCTTAACCTGAGTCTCACTATCCTCATAAAAACTCTTAAAGTGCTTGTGGGAGATGGCTGATGTGTTGTGACAATAAAAACTAACCCATTACATTAGTTATGTTCATATGCTAAAAGATTATGTTGCTTCACAGCAGGTATCCAATGAACCTGGGATGCATTATAACATGTCTGTGATGAACTCCCTGGTGCTGTATGTAGGCATGCAGGCTATTGCACAGATTAATAGCAAGGGTCTCACTCCCTCCATGTCCACGATTGCTCATTCCGCCCACATGGACATATTCCAGAATCTTGGTGTTGATTTGGACACAGAAGGTAAACTAATTTGTTTAAAGTTTGTAGGTGTGTTAATATACTGGTCAAGAAATAAAATTCTTAGGAAATCAGAGAATTTAGATGCTCATGCAACTACCAAATTAACAGTGGATTCTGAACATCCAAGCAATGTAAAAGTTATAAACTGATGAGGATGGATTAACTGTAGATACTGTTAAATACCGTATTTCACGGCTTATAAGATGCTCTGATGCATTAGATGCATCCCGTTTTGGAAGTTAATAATCAGAAAAAAGTTTGCCTAATACCAAGTAATATTTACTCCACTGAAACCTATGGTAATTTTACATGCAGAAATAAGGTTACGTTTGATTTATGGGTAGGTCATAGGATAGGCCTAGTGCACACCTGAACACCCCAATGATCTCTCAGTTTGAACTGGTGAAACAGTCACTGGTGGCTGAGCTGCTGCTGTGTGCGTAACTCTATATAGTGAGGGTCCCAGAGTGCATACTGATGCGTCTTTGTCAATGACCTTCAGTATAAACAAAAATGACTGCTTCAGCTGTTGTACCATAACATATGGTAAATAGGATTACCGGTACCTAGTAATAAAGTGAAAATACCCAGCATGTGCTAACACTAGCGTAGTATACGGTAGCATTATTTTAAAGTGCCTGCCATAAATGATGCTGCTTTGTGACTTTGGTAGTTTAAGAAATAAGAAAGGAAGGTGTTACTTAAGGAGGAATTTCGTTTTCTGTCAGTATCCCAGTGCAGTATCTATATTTCATAAATAGCTTGTCTCATAACGTTATTAATTTACTTTAATTTTGAAACACTGGACTTGTTTTAGTTTCAATGGCTCAGCATCAGACATAACTGGGAGAGCTGCAGCCCACCCTACACCCCAAACTTATAGCTCCCATTACTGACCTTCAGTTTATAGGACACTGGTGGTTTTTGGAGACATTTTATGGAAAAAAGAAATTGCATCTAATAAGCCACGAAATATGGTATATGATTTTAGCATACTTTTGTGTTTGTATACAGCATCTCCTCACTTAATGACAGAGTTCTGTTCCAGAGACCATGTTGTTAAACAAGTTTGTTGCTAAGTGAGGAGCATACTATAATGGTAGCGAGTTTGTGTCAACCATCTTTGATATTGTTTTAATGTCATATTTGAATCATATATAACATTTCTGGTATATTTTTAAAGATTCATACAGTAGTATACTGTATATTGAAATAAACAGAATACAGTGGACCCCCAGTTAACGATATTTTTTCACTCCAGAAGTATGTTCAGGTGCCAGTACTGACCGAATTTGTTCCCATAAGGAATATTGTGAAGTAGATTAGTCCATTTCAGACCCCCAAACATACACGTACAAACGCACTTACATAAATACACTTACATAATTGGTCGCATTTGGAGGTGATCGTTATGCGGGGATCCACTGTATAGGAAATCAGCTCTTATATACATTATTTAGGTATGAATACTGGTCAGAGAGCCTGTCGTAAGGCCGAGGCGTCGGTAAACGAGTACATCGCTAGTTAGGAGAGGCTGTATATGGAATTTTTTATTACATACCTGTACTTTTATGATAGTTTTTACAGCTATACACATACTGTTGTTTCTTTCAGGTCGATACTTGTTTTTAAATGCTATTGCCAATCAGTTGCGATATCCAAATAGCCACACTCATTACTTCAGCTGTACTCTACTCCATCTCTTTGCTGAAGCTAACACAGAAGCTATTCAAGAACAAATTACCAGAGTTCTTCTGGAACGACTTATTGTCAATCGTCCTCATCCATGGGGACTACTAATTACCTTCATTGAACTCATCAAGAATCCTTCTTTCAAGTTTTGGAGTCATGAGTTTGTAAAGTGTGCTCCAGAAATTGAGAAGTAAGTGATTTTATTTAACATTAAAGCTATGATAGTATTTTAACATTACTCCAGTAATAATGATATAAATTATGATACAGAATGATGATTTTTTTTCCATTTAAAGATTATACAGGGGTTAAGGTAATATTTAATTCTTTTATTTTACACGTTAAGAAATGTTTTATCCTACCTCAGCTCGTTAAATGGCAGTAATTTTTAATGTAAATAAACAAGCAAAAAGCTATGTATTAGTATAATTAGATATGTAAGTCATAAGAATTCCATGCCACCGACACAGTTTTTATACCAGGACTCTCAGCTGCTGTATGATATAATCACAAGATATTTTGCTGTATCAAGAATTCAACAACTAAAGGTCCTTGGGAATCGTATTAAGAGAAGAGGACTGCTGAAAACCTTGTCAAGTTCCATTGACTCCAAAGAGGGAAATCTTAGATATCCTATAATAAATAAGATTTGTTTCAATTTTATTCCTATTTTTTCTACCATATATACTGCAAAAACATGAGCTGTAGGTTCAAGAAATTCCTTTATTTTAATTTTGCCAGTACAGTATTTAAAGACCAATCAAATAAAAGAACTACACTAATATTTCCTTAATTCAGTCCAAAGATGTCTCAAAATCTAACAGAATAATTCAGTGAAGGTAAGCCACAAGAGTAAATATGTCAAATGAAAATAGTCTTCTAGAGTTGTGGCTTCGGAAGATCAGTTCCCGTAATCAGTTTATGCAAAATTAAATTGAAAAACATTTGACCAGTTGAATGATATTTAAAACTTGCAGTATTTTCCAATGCTTAACAAATAACAGCAAGATGAACCTGAAAAAAAAAAACGGTATAGGTGGGGCTCAACTCATGGCCTCTCCATGTTGGGTCACCTTAAAGCAGTAGTGGGATTTACATGAATTTTAGTCAAGGAGGTGGAGGGGTAAGGTTGCCATTCTTATTTTTTCCATAAATGGTCATTTCTAAGGCTAATTAGGGAAGCTTAGCCTTGTAAAAGAAAATAAACATTCTCTGTGGAAAAATCCAGTGAATTCACCCTGAAGCTGTTTGATTAGTTTATTTCACCACTGCCCCTTTATGAATATGAATGTGGTGGGAATATTTCAACAGAGTTTTATGGGACTTGTGGCCATTGGCTTCAAATTACAAATATACCTACCATCCGACTTACGACCTGCTCGACTTAGGACCGTGTTTTTTATGCCAAATTTCTGGGAAATAAACAACTATTTGTGTTGTACACAGTGTTTATCCTAAACCTTACAGTATAAAATACAATACTAACAACATAAAAAGTAAAGTAAAACATGAAATACCAAAATAAAACAATAAAATAAAGTCTTTACAAAAATGTTTTGTTGATATTCAGTAGTAAAGTTCGACTTACGACCATTTCGACTTAAGACCGGTTTCTCGGAACCAAACTCGGTCGTAAGTCGGATAGTAGGTGTATCGTTTGAACAAAGTAGATAATTGATATTGAATTGTATTTCTTGTCATGAGATTATTTCCACAGTATGAGAGTAAATTAATCATGATTAGTAACTAGTTGATGATAATAATAATAGCAAGTTTATGATAATGTCAGCAACTGCCTTTGGTAAAACCATTGAATAACTGAACAGCTTTAGTGCTTTCAAAACAATGAATTGACTTTTTAAAGAGTATAGTTTTTCTTAACCTATGGGCTCCTAAACTCAACTGCAAATTAGTGGATGAAATGAAACTGCTATCTTTATTAAGTTAGTGTGCATCCGATCTATTTTTTGTGTAGGAACTTTTACCATCTTTGAAAATATTACATAGTTTGAATACTTCATTTTTTAAAATGTTCTGATGACCTGATAATGGTCCAGGACAGACCAAAAAAGTTTATTTCCTCTCCAGATTTTGGGTTTATAGTTTTCTAGTTGTAGCATTGAGACTTGTTTGTGGGGTTTTTAGTTTTATTGTGCAGCTGATGGTACTGGGAACTAATCTTTCAGCTCTGCAGCTCAAGAATTGATGCCGTGCTATTTCCACTTAATTTTATTCCTCTCGTGGATTGCATTCTTTTTTCAGTTTTATTAGATTTGAGTAGTACATACATTTTTATTGACTGTGATAGAATGCAGATGAGACAAAATTATGTAGGAGGATTTCTGTGACCTGTTTGTGTTTTTGTGCTTCCTTTGGAAAGGCATATATGAATAAAGTTTAAGTAAGCTTTTGTCTTATTTATTATCAGACGGTCTAAAATCTCCATCTCAAGGATGCCTGAGAGAGGTTTTCTGGGATCAACACTCCTGCTACCTGGCCTCATGGTGGATCAAGGCCTGATCAACTAGGCTGTTACTACTGGCTGTATGCAGTCAAATGTATAAACCACAGCTTGGTTTATCAGGAATTGGTTTGAGGAACTTACAAATTTCCCTCCTGAAGATAGCCAGAGGTTTGTTGGTAAACCCCCTTATGCAAAAAGGAAGGGGGGTATTGAAAAGCCTGGGACCTCTAACACTTACCATGTTCTCTCTTAGTGTACTCATCACATTCCTACTTTGTATAGGAGATACTTTGTATCATGTTCCAAAGTCTCATACTTTCATATTGAATAATTTCAGTGTGCAGATTTGGGAGCAGTCCCTCCTGGATTTTTCAGGTATAAATTATGGTGTACCTTTTTTTTTTTTTTTTTTCATTTTCATTCTAAGGAGTTCAGTTCAAGGGACTTAAGCTCAAGGAGAAAGTAGAAAATACACACTAAATGCTACCATGACAGGGGAGTCTGCTATTTTCACAACATCCCTGTAGAGAAAGGGAGCTTGGTCACAAAATCACATGCCCACTATTTTCTACACCTATTTTTAAATACCTGACAGCATTCCTTTGATCTACAGTCAGCATTTTTTTAACCATTTTTTGTTCTGTTCCAGAAATATCTGGAAGGTTCAGGAACCCCACTTGGGCATTTGAAATTATTGACATTGCATCTAGCCAATAGGGGAACATATTGCAATAATCATATAACAAAGTAGAGAGCCTATCTCTTTCCCAAGGGAAGTGTGAGATGTGAAGCAGTGTGATTTGGACTTGGGACAAAGTAATTCCCAATTGGTTGTTAGTTTGGACTCTCAAAGGTTATAAATAAAAAGGTCTTGGAGATGTCCGGTCTATAACATTATAGAAACCCATCCAAATTCCTCCATTATTTCATTGATGGAACTCTAAATGGTTAACCCTTAAACTGTCCAAACGTATATATACATTTGCTCACGTAGCGTTCTGAACGTATATCAACGTTTTATTTTTCATTCCTTCAAATTTGGCACAATAGGTTCGAGTAGCCTAGACATGAAAGAATGGGTCTGTGCACTCAGTGTGCGCAGTATTAAAAAAATCTGGGAGCACTTAGTACCTTGTGGGACCACCAGTTCAATTGAGCGCCAGCTAAAGCAAATAGCGTAGCAAACACCAAGGATTCACTGATGCCATATCGCATTAACACTCCCATTTTAAGAGGAAAGTAAAAATAGGTTAGATAAATATGTGAGTGAGTGTGGGTGGGTGTGAGTTGGACCTGACTAGCTTGTGCTACTAGGCCTGATGTTATGATCCTTCCTTCAGTGGATATGACCTGACTAGGTGGGTCATTGGTCTGAGTTGGGGGGGGGGAGTTGGAAGGTGACATAGATCTGCCTTGCATGGGCCAGTAGGCCTGCTGCAGAGTTCCTTCTTTCTTATGTTCTTATGTATTTGGCAGGTTGGCTGGCTTGCTTTGGCTGTCTCTCTCTCTGTATCTCTATCTGTCTTTATCTCTGTCTATCTATATCTCTGTCTCACATGTACACATAAGTATAGTTATTATAGTGAAATTACCTAGGATAACCCAGAAATTTAAGGCAAAAATAGATAGACAGACAGACAAACATGTTGGTGTGTATCGGTGAAAACAAGTAAAGCCAGGGGTTTCCCCAACGGCCATTTATCAAATGTCACTGGGCTGTTCTATAATGGCTGTCATAACACCCTTCTTCAAGGAGTTTGATATACGTATACTCCAGGCAGACAGACAGAAAAGCAGACGGATAGACAGAGACAGACAGATAGACAGACATGTTTGTGTGTAACAGTGATAACAAATGTGGCACCATCCGACTTACGACCAAGTTCGGTTCCGAGGAACCGATCGTAAGTCGAACCCTACTACTGAATATCAACATCATATTTTTGTAATGACTATTTTATTGTTTTATTTTGGTATTTCATTTTTTACTTTACTTTTTATGCTGTTTGTACTGTATTTATACTGTAAGGTTTAGGATAAAAACACTGTACAACACAAACAGTTGTTTATTTACCAGAAATTTGGCACAGAAAACAAGGTCATAAGTCAAATGGTCATATGTCGAGCAGGTCGTAAGTCGGATGGTAGGTGTACAACGAAGGTTAACTAAATACATGAGTGAGTGTGGGTGGGTGTGAGTTGGACCTGACTAGCTTGTGCTACTAGGTCTGATGTCATGCTCCTTCAGTGGATGTGACCTGACTAGGTGGGCCATTGGTCTAAGCCAGGGGGGGGGACCTGCCTTGCATGGGCCAGTAGGCCTGTTGCAGTGTTCCTTCTTTCTTATGTTCTTATGTATTCGGCAGGCTGGCCGGCTGGCTGCCTTTGGCTGTCTGTCTATATCTCTGTCTATCTCTCTCTCTCTCACATGTACACGTAAGTACAGTTATTATACATAGTGTAAATTACTTAGGATAACCAAAAAATTCCAGGCAAAGATACAGACAGACAGACAAACATGTTGGTGTGTACCAGTGAAAACAAGTAAAACCAGGGTTCCCCAAGTGCCTATTTATGAAATGTCACTGGGCTGTCAACAGATGTCATAACACCCTTCTTCAGGGAGTTTGATATACGTATACTCCAGACAGACAGAAAGATAGATAAGCAGAGACAGATAGACAGGCACATACAGACAGATATAGAGAGACATGTTTGTGTGTAAC